GTATTATGACGAAATCATTTATATAAGATATAACTTTTATCTTATACAAGAATATGAGTGGCCGAGGACATAAGATAGAAGACTGAAGAGCTGATGATCCCGGGTTCGAATCCAGCAGTGGTAAAACATATTTTTCACATATGATATTTTAAGTATAAGATAACATTAAGAGATTAGAAGGTACTACTACTGATGTAGAGAGAATAAAAATATCTTAACAAATAAAAAATCTATTCCCAATTTTACATCAGCCGAGTGTCCCAGTGAATCCTTGTTGTTTACCAACAAGTAAATTTTGTTTCCAATTAAAAATAATTTTTGTCTTGTTTTAAGGATAATTTAGTCTTAATCGGAGGTCATTTATACTTGGCGCTATTCTAAGGATAAAATATCCTTAAATCAAGACATATTTGCATTGCGTTAAGGATTCCTTTTTTTGTGTGTGGATAACGTGCGCTCTGCATTCACCGACGTGTCAAGTCGAAAGTAACCGGTGAAAAACAGACAGTTATGCCGGATGATATACCTGATTAGATGCGGCGCGTACAACGTCCAGAATTCGCGAGGACCAATCCTATTTTACAACCCGCTTCGCGAGTGCTCGGTTGACAGGCAATTAATTTCAATCATCGAAGAGCACATAACTCGACTGGCGGTTATGCTGCAAACTTTCACGTGAAAGAAGCTCGCTCGTGCGTTTTGCGCGAGTCTGTGAGCTCGGCCGGCGCGGAACGTTTCTCGGAAGAACGTTGACGTATCGCCGAGACGAGAAGGAGGAAACAACGGCAGAAGTTCTCGTTCGTACTGGCAAGAAGGCTGTCGTAAGACTGGGCGACATTGCTCGTCGAGGCCAGCTTCCGCGGTTAGCGCCGACATCGAGCGCTTTCGTGCCCGAGAGAAGGGATAGTCTCGCGTTTTCAGTGTGCCACCGCGGCCACGCTTTTAACTTTGCTGCTCGGAATTGCATTCTTTGCGGGCATTATACCGTATGCGAAAAATCAGCGCGTATTCACGCGTCACCCTCGTTCTTCACCCTCGATCCCCGCGCCCGCGCGTTTCCCACTTTAATTTCTTCTTTGATCCACACGTTGGATGCCATCCAAGCGCGCGTCGCCTCTCGTCGCGATATCCCGCATTCGCGGCTATTCGAGACTCATTTCTAATCCATCCGGACAATAGCCGCGGAGGCACATACGTTACAAATTAGCTGCGCGAGACACGGCAGTCCTCCCTTGGAACGCGTAGATCTGTGCCTTCGTGTACTAGTTCGCGGATGTCGCCCGGCTACTCGAGTCGATTAGTCTTGCGGAATGTGTCAACGAAACGAAACCGTTCACTTGCCGGAGAAAAATCGTAGGACGCGAACCGGAGGATCTATGCTGAGCTGGATATACCGCTACGCGATATAATCGGCTTTAACAACGAACCGACCATTTTGCTACTGAATTACGTCGCTTGGCAATTCCGTGGGCGACTAACTGATTCATCGATCGAAACGAGAGAATGTATCAATTTGTGTATTAAAATCGGACCAGCTTATGCACGGCGTAAGCGTGAAAGCAAAATTAATATTATTACATTATTAAAACGTGAGGCAAATGTCGAACAACTTTTACGACATCCAGCATCGATTTTTTGCCAAGCATTTTTTAATATTCTGCAAATTGCAGAGGGATTTATGTATACGTTGCAAAAATTCTTAATATAGAAGTACTGCAGCTCAATGAACGGTATTGAAGATGCAATTGTTTTACTTATCGCGATTAAGATAATCCTTATTATGCACGCCCATATTCTGATGCTATACCGGTATGGATAATGGATGGTTATACCATACGCAAATTGCGGTTGTAAATTACATCATCGTGCATATAGTTTCTGAAAGCGAGAATTGCGTCTGTCGCAACGAGCGGCGAACGGCTTTCTTCGCCGGGATACTGTTTTGGAAAAGAAAGGAGGCAGACCGCAAAATCAATTCATGGCCGTCGCTAAAAGCCACTTGTCCTTGGCACCGCGATCCGAATCGCTCGCGTTGCGTCAACGTACTGGAAGCGTTGGAGCCTTGTAGCACGATTATTAATTGTTATATTTATCTCCTCTAATAATGGCCTCCCTCTTTTTGTCTCCTCGGTCGCCGTGGATTACGATCATGTGACACTCGCGCCGTTAAACATCCTAAATGATGTATCGTCTGATGTGAGGCAATGTATTTAGCAATAAATCCGCGTGTTACAGCTTCGCTCTTTGTGTTCGACTCGTCGAGTCGCCAAAGCAACATATGTTAGAAAAGTGAATAGCGTGAGTTGTACCGTAACGTTGCACATTTTATCAAATTTTATGTATTTTCCAACGTACCCACTTGGTTGCGTACCGTAACTCGTCGCTTTCGGAAGAGTCAGCCTCTTTTTCGTGGCTGAGGTCAGGTAGAGCGACTTAATATCTCGAGTTGCAGAGACTTGGAAACGATTTTTGTACTCCTTCCTACATACATTTCGTCACGTAATACTTGTCAGATCGTTATCTTGTAGAGATTATTGGTATCAAT